GTTGGTCTGGAGAAGCTGAAGCATTTATTACCTGACACATGACATTGTTCTTTTACTTCCTGAATATTTTCCTCCTCTGAGATTCACCGTGACTTTCTGTCATTCAGACAATCAAACACTCTGAGACCTCTAGATTAAAGGAGCTGCTCTGATAATAGCACCTGTCCGGTAGACATCCTGCAGAGTTTCCGCGAGGTCTTAAAAAAATTTCAAAATCAATATTTAAGGCCTTACAAAGTATTACATTTGCTGAAGTTTGTGTTCTAGGTCTTAAATAATTTATTTTCCAACATACATGTAACGCTACCTCTAATGCTCGTTGAAATTGTCCCAGCTCTGTCCTCTAATGTATATCTCGATAGTTACATTAAATTAAAAAGAAAGGACGGTGTTGAGGTTAGTATGTGCTGTTTAATGTTTAGTCACATGGTGGTGCCTTTTCATCATTTTGTAGAGTTTTATGATATTGTGTTTAAGCTAGCAAGATATGCTATTGTGTGCTTTTTTACCTCAATGAAGGCAATTCTAAAGGTCTTAAAGGGCAATTATCCCGGTAGAGTTTACTTGGTATACAGTGTAAAGAAACGCAGCATATGTGTGTTTTGCAGTAACTTAGGTTAAATAAGATTAAAGCTGCTTATGAGACATAAAAATACTGTTATTAAATATTTCATTATTAAATTTATTATGCTTACTGATAGCACTCTTATCAGAGGTTGTCACTAAGCTAACAGGTTAAAAAAAGGTGAAATTTTATGATTGGAATATAAAAGGAGAGTAATGCTTTTATTTTTGTTTTCTTTTGTAGCTCTTAAGGTGTGTTCAAGGTGTTATCAGGTTTTTAGACAACAAGCTACAAGTACATTTTCACATAAATGAGTCTTCCTAGGAGCGGCACAAATAACATTGGTCTGTACGTGCAGCCGGCTGTAAGACCAGTGTGCAGGGACCGTCTACAAAGTGCAACACCGAAAACACTTCTACAATGTAGTGCCCCCAAAATCACCTTACACATTAATGATATACTGCTGGTTATACTACAACACTTAGTTTAGGGGAAAAAAGACTTGCATAACTAATATTAGGTAGGCCTATTTTTAATGTTCAATAACTACACTGTTAAAGGCTGTCTTTTGTCGTAATTATGACATCTTTTCTTCGAGATAAGGCTTCCAGTTTATTTTCTTGGGGAATGCAATGCGCTTCTGTACATACCAGCCTCAATCCACCAAAAAAAACCCATGTTGCTGACCAAAGTTTCATTTCACAGGATTTCTGGGTATTAAAACCTGTAAATGTATGAAATTGATAACCCCTGTGAGATAAGTGCCACTAACATTACCTATGGTCTAAGTGAAAACAATATTGCCAGACAACCAGCCAAGAGTAACAGCTTCATACCATCACCTTTACTACAGTATAATAGCCAATAAACTGGCTGTTGAATTGTAGCATTTTCAAGTTAACCTTGTCTTTATTTTGCAACATGTAGATTTACTTGAAGAGTCGAGTGTAATTACACAGAGATCCACACATTGCAAGACAAAGTGTATGTAAAACAGAAACTGGCAGCATTTGCAAATCCATGATATCAGAGTGTTAAGTCTGTGCTAACACCATTCTCAGTGTTTACAGCGTACACTTGGCCCGATCCCCAGAAACACTGCAATTAAAAGAAGATTCCTGGAGAGAAGACAAAAAGCAGGTGTAATTCTTTTAAGAGCCTGCAGATGGAGCCTTTAAGAAGCTTTTAGAAAAACTATGGTGCAGCAGTGAAGCTTAATGTAGGCTACAGGTTGAAGGACAAACTGTTGGCCCGTAAAGGAGAGAATGTGAACCATAACTGCACATGTTTAAATCATGCTAAATGTAACTAGTTATTTACTATTAATAGTTTTAGGGATCCACCAGTTACAACATGACACAATAAAAGCCATAAAACAAATCATGGCGCTTGTTTTTAAGGCTTAATAGCTTAAAGTCTTACTCCATGTTTATTGTTTTTGTGCATTAGTCAGAGTTTGGGTAAGATTGTTGGGTTATACTGCCTTGAGCTATTAATGGTTTATTATAAAGTAAAGAGGCTGTAGTATTAACTGCTGACAGGTTTCATCAGGAAAATTGGTCCCAGTGTTTGGGGAAATGTTTTGACATGTATCTGAAACTGGGGCAATTGGACAATATCTTCATATGCAGACTTACGTGAAGGTGTCTGGTGAAGAATTGGGCAAGAATTACGCAAAGATAAAATGATAAATGTAAGTACCTAGAAAACATAGATTTCAGCTCTCGCTCATCTCCCTCCCACAGTCTTGATTACGAGCACAGATACTTCATATTGCAGATGTGGCTTTATTGGAGTTCTGCAAGGTAATAATCAGGAGTCAGGACAGTCTACCTTTGCACCACAAGATTAGCCAAGCAAAACATCTGGCAATCAAACTAAATACCTTTTAATGCATGTGACAAGAAAACCTGCTCTCAATAAATGATTAAATACTAATTTTTAGGTTATAATGATGACTAGATATCTCAGCAGTCTTCTAAGCCCTGTTTCACTACTGCTAAATTTGTCATCCCTTATATTCATTGTACCTGATGCTCTGTCTTATATCCTTGACGTGCCAGTTCTTGCACCACATGCAAGATATAAATGGGGAAAGAGACAAGTGACAGTAAATCATGATTTCTTATCCTCATTGTCGCTGTCGGGCATCCTCTGTGAGCATGATACAAATTTAAAGTGAAGGTTCAGGTTAACTTGTAACGGATATCTTTCCCACAAAGTCACCAACAATATGTTTCACTCAAAGGTTCAAAATGCCTTTGATAGAGGTATAAAGAAAGATGGTGTTAGAAGGCTGTGGTGAAGGTAGAGGAAGGATGTAGTAGATGACACGTGTATGAATTAATCTATATAGAGGCAGTGTGTGTTTGTGAATGTTTAATTCTCTGTTGGTGAGGTAGCTCTGAGATGACAGAGGGATGCGTCAGGAATGACCCCCTCCACTCTGGGGACCATGTTGTAGCATGTCTGCCATGGATGCAACACCTCGCTGTCAGCTACACACACACACGCACACACACACACACACAGTAAAGGACGTTTCACAGCTCATAAGTCTGTATTTACCTTGTTGATCTAGTTATAATTAACCCACATGTAAACAAAACAGTGGCAATGAAAGAATCGACCCTAGGCTTCACCCTTAACTTTATCTGTAATTGCACTTCTCCCTAAATTTAGTGTACCACACACAACCACACATTTCCACCGCTGTCTCACTCCTCCTCCCTGCATTCCTGATGTGCAGTGGACGAACTATAATTCAGGCTTGGGACTTAATAATGTATAGCAATTTTGGGCTAAATAACTGATCTGGTTTCCTTAGGGAAGCATTGACATGCTCATGGATGTTGTCACAAACACTGAAGTGATGTGCTGAAATTAGACCATTTCATCTTCTTTCAAATATAAAGAAAAACAGTTGACAGACATGATGGCAAATAAAAATAACAGTGGGGCTTTATGTAAACTGGTATCCATGTTTGAGTAATTTCAGATATGGGTTTTCACTTAATATGCACTTGGATCTCATAATTATGGATGCAGCTGAGACTTAGTTATGTCAGCAATGCAAAGGTAAAGAAATGTTCCTTAAGGTCATCAAATCAAACGGTACTTAGTTCACTGTTTTTGGAAGTGTTTCTCTTCTGTTACCTATGGAGGGGCATTAATTGTGTAAGACTGTTAAAACTGAAGTGGAATCTCACATAATGCTATCAGTCAAAGGAGTTGTCTGAAATTCATTACAAGCACCTTGACCCTGACGTGATTTGAACACGCAACCTTCTGATCTGGAGTCAGATGCGCTACCGTTGCGCCACAAGGTCGATAGAGGTTACAGTAGATTCCATAAAATGCATGCACCCATGCAACTCTGCCCCAGATTAATACTGCCTAAAGAAAAAGAATAATATGGCTCTGTAAGAGTGATCTTTTAGGTTATACTTGTATGATCAAATTCCATCAGAGCAAGACACAAACAGAACTGAGAGTATTCGGGGAAAATATTTGAGTAGTGCTTTAACCTTTATATCTTGCAATGAGATGGTACAGTTTGGAAAAGGGGTTGTCCATCTTGTTCACATGTACATGCTCACTCATTTGGACTACATTAGATCATAAAGAATAAGAGCTGCAGGGAGTGAGTGAAGCTCCATAGAAAGGTTGCAGCTTTTATCGGTAAATTGGGTCAAATCGTAGATCCAGCCACAGGCCAATTTCTAATTTTGCACTTCAGTTCAATAATTTACTTATATATGTAGCATTAATATATGCTTATCTATCAGTGGCATAAGTGCGGGTCTGTCAAATTCAGTTTAGACTTTGATGTAAACTCAGCAGCTCCCTTTGAGAACACAAGTGCTGTCACAACTCATTCTGCTGCTGTGTCCAACTCCCTCAGTCTGACTCATGCATCCAATTTGGAATTCAGTATCTGTTTATATGTACCAGTCTCTAAATCATCCAGGCAGTCACAGATACATCAAATCCAAGTGTGGTAATATGTTAAATCCTTGCTGCAATAGACCTGCAGTACTTAACCTGAGCCTGGATCAGGGTTTCCCAGACTTACTGTCATACAGCACACCTGAGCAGGACCAGAGCTCCAGTGCAGGGATACTAGTTGGTGTCTGGGACTGGTAGGCAAAATGAGTGTGTGAGGGACTGACAGTGCCCCACAGCTCACTTTGGACCAGCGACCCTCTTGCAAGCTAATCTAGCCCTAGCCCCATGATTTTAAGGGACCAAAGGAACCCCTAGTTCTGTAATCTAGATTATAGCCACTGATAATACTGAAAGCAAAAATGTGGTTTATAGTATATTATTTCCCTTCACAATGACCATCATTTCATTGCATAAGATATGACATCAACCCAAATCAATTTGATAAGATTTTCATTACACCATACTAGTGAAGAACATGAAAACACAAGTGTTACGCAACTTATTATGACAGGAAAGCAACGACACGTAAAGTGAGTTTGGAAGGGTTCGCTCTCTGGAACAACCTGCATTGTGTTGGATGGTGTTGGAAACATTCTTGGTGCCTGCTCTAACATGTGGGCGCACTCCAGTTGTGCGCTCTCGCCGGAGAGGCTTTCTGTTGGGAAGTTTCTGTAAGTGAGTCAACACGGCACAGGGAGGACGCCACCCAGCCCTGCCGCTGGATCCAATGCTGGGCTTCTTTCTTGTCCTCCGAGGGCGCAGGACACAAAGACAACTTCACTTCCACTTCTTCGCAACAACTGGGGATTTAGTTTTGAACGTTCGCACGCCTGGGATGGTTATTGCCGTTTTGACGCGGCTTTTTCCTCGTTGGAATTAACGCGGCAGAGGAGAAATGAAAGTGACGGTGTGTTTCGGGAGGACCCGGGTGGTCGTTCCGTGTGGAGATGGGAGTATAGAAGTCCACAACCTTATCGAACAAGCGGCCATGAGATATAAGAAGGCGATTGCAAAGGTAAGCACCCCCACCCTCCCCAACACAGCCCTGCCCGGGTGTGCTTCTGTAACGTTTCGCTCCGTGTGGTGCGCTGAGCAGTACACTACACCCACCCCGGAGCCTCAACATGGCGCTTTTCACGGGCTGAGAAAGAGGGACCGAGGAGTTGAAGAGAGCCAGTGGCTGCCCTAAGAATCAGCGAGGACCCCCAGGGGCCCCTCGTGGAGGAAGAGTGGGAGAGTATGCTCACTGAAAGAGGAAACTTTTCATTTTTATTTCAAAGGAATCCACAAGTAGCCTAATCTAAACAAACGTGAGACAAATGGGCTTTCTGCTGTCTTGTGTATCTGTTTGTCTCAGTTTGTCTGTGAAAAAGTTTAGGGAAACACTGGGAGTCTACCCAGTGAGTGTATAGAGCAATGAGGATGAAATAGAAACAAAATAACCCCAGCTGTGTACCTGTCAACAAAAGACCTTTGTGCAACAAGAAAAAAAAGTACAATATATATTACAACATAGTAAACTGGCTAGGCCACTTATATAAGCCGTTTGCCATTACATGCTGACAAAATCATTTTTAAGTTCATCCAAGTTCATCATTGAATGAGGCAACGCATGCATTCATGTGTGAAACCTCTGCGCCAAATATGAATGAGGCCTGACTAGGACACTGATTGTTTTTGCCTTTGTGGGTTTCTAGTGGCTGTGCTTTAAAGCCCATTAAATGACTAAAGTTTTAAATGACTAAGTATTAAAGTTCAGTACTGTTAGGAACAACACTTTCCCCTCTTTGTGGGTGGTATTAGCATCAGAGTGACGTTAATGTTGCAGTTCCTCTTAAAGGGCTTGGAATACCTTGATGAACCCACGCTGGTTTTGCTAAGTTATTTCCATGTTTGGAAAACGTCTCTTCTTCTTCTTTTTTTAGAGAGAACTTTCAGTAACCTTTAGACAGGTTTCAGAAAAAATCAGAGGAAGAGTATAGTGATGGCAACAGACTTAGAGATGTAATGTTTCACACCTGTTCACTCAGCTCCATGACAACTTCCCGGAAAAGGTGAATATCAACTGTTGTGAATCAGTTGTAGTTTTTGCCACTGAAGGCAAACAGTGACGAAGTAGGACAACATTAACACTCATTCTGGATGAGCACTTCCTTCTTAGATACATGCTAGCAAGCACACACACATGCCCACACACATTCACTCCTCTATTTACCAGTGCTTGATGATTTTCCATTGTTCAGCAGAATAGAGGCGACTAGTTTATTGATCCATGCAGTGGTACTGTAAATGTAGAAGTGTAGACTTCCCCTCTGGAGAACACTTGGCTCTGGGTCAACACTAACTACCGTATCACAGGCCAGCAAAGACCTTTGGACTACAGGAAGATATAATCACATATAGGTCATTTGAGATTTATAATATTCTTGCAGCTGACAGCAACAGGGTAGTGCTTTAGGCCTTAATTTTAAAGTACAAATGTTGGATTTTATATAACAAAAATCACAAGCGTACTTGATGATGTTATATAAAATTACATCTCATGGCAGATACTGTATGATGCATTATGTATTTGAATGCTGAAAACCTAAGTGGTCTCTTTTGCCATAAAAAAATACATAAATCAAACCTGCTTCATCCAAGATAGCAGTCAGCTGGGCTGATCCAGCTATAGCAGGAAGAAACAAAGGAAATTGAAACAGGCATATGCCACAATTCCTAAACCACAGATCGCTAAGGACCATTCTGCAACTGAACTGAACTGAACTGAGTGTTTCAAATGAAGTGGTACACAGAAGTGTAGTTACTGCTGGTGGGATATGGTCGGCATGCTAGAATATCAACATTGTCAAAAAGAAAACACTAATTCTACGAAGATCCAAAGGCACAGCCTAAAGTGCTCTATAAGCTCGCTTTTATACATGTAGTGTGGGTCATTTGGACAGGACCACAGGGAAAAAAAGATGGCCACTTCGTTCCACTGACTTTTTAATGAGACCTGCTCCAGTTGTTTAAATCAACACCAGAGTTTGATTGAGACAAGCTGCTATGAGAAGCACTCCCATATAAAAAACACTAGGTGTGACATGTTATAATGACTTGACATTCTGTGTTGGGACCATTTGGCAGCCATCTTACCTCCAGTTTTAAACTTTGGAAATTGGAATCAATGATGAAAGAGGCTTATGTTGTCTTCATATTCCTTGTGGGTTTTTTTTTACCAATACTATTTTAAATTCCAAGTAATAAAAATAAGACAACTGTGAATGTCTACAATGAACCAAAAAAAAAAATCTGATCCAATAGAACAAATCTTACTGTCAGCCATGAAGATAATCTCAAAATTCTGCATTTTTATCACAGAAAACTTTATTTTTTCAATATTGCCTGAACTCAATATGTAAAAACTGTCTTTGGTATTCTGAATGGAATATACTACATTCAACTATAGTTTATATATAGAAAACCTAAATATATTCTGTATGAAGGCCTACATTGGCAGGCAATTCCAATTACAAACACAAGAGAGAAAGTGCGATCCATAGAGATAAATCTGTGGTGCAACCCCTCGGACAATATGTTGGCTGATTTTGTGGTTAGTGTTCCGTGTTGCTGTCCATGTGGCTAACACTGCTGTTGTGTTGATTTGCCTGGGTTTCATCTGGGCTGGATTTGTCTTGCGATAATATGAAATAGAATTCAGGAGTGAAGTATGAGAAGCCGCCTAGGCCAAAATTGAATACTTTGCATGCACATACATACATACTCCCTTGCACATACATATATACTCGCTTGCACATACATACATACTGTCATTTGTAAGTATGTATGTATCCGCAAAGTATGTATGTGCAAGCAAGTATGGATGCAATTTTGGCCAAGGCAGCTTCTCATAATGAAGTGCAAGATGAGCATTTCACCTTGTTGTTTACAGGTTGTATGTTTACTTTAATATTACACTGGATTGGCGCGGAATCAACTACTTAGAGGTCAAATGTTAGGGTAATATTAATAACCTTGTTATATCGTTAATGTTACTAAACGTTACCTTTGAGCTTATATTAAAACAATAGTTACTATGCTACTGCTTGGCTAACAGATCAGTGCTAGCAATCAGCAATAACTTTGACTTAGATCTCAGCTGGTCCATTACTTGGTAGCTAACAGTAAGGTTACCAATAGTCCACGAAGCCTTTGTAGTTTTAGTTGACACATATGTAAAACATAAATCTCCCTGTTCGCAGCAGTAGTTCGATTCCAGCCAGTAACCGTTGATGCATTTCATCACCTGCCTCTATCAAATAAAAGCAAAAATGCATGTGTGGAAATAGAAAATAATACATCTTTCATCTAGTCTTTACTGCCTGCGGAAAGTGATGCCTGGTATCCTCCCTGGTCTTAGGTGCTGCACAGCTGACAACCATAGTTGCTGCCCATAGGTGGCGATTGCAAACAATACCCAGGCGGACGGTTATCTCATTGTTTTGACGTAATATCACATCTAGTGTTTTATATCTATGAGCACTGGCTCGTGCAAAAAGCTCATCTCTTCAACAACTACTTCACACTACTCTGCTCTTCCTTCCTCCTCTATACTTAAAACTGATCTTGCCTCCACCTACCTTCTGCCTGACTCCAATGTCTTTATATACCCCTTTATTATTCATGAACCATCCTGGGTTGCAAAGATATTTGCCACGTGTTTTGCCATAGCAATTCTGTGAAGTGTGCTCTTACAGCCTTTGCTCTTAGTTGCCTCTGTGATCTATGAAATCAGACTTATTCGCCTCTCTGAATTAGCTCTGTTGATTTGGCTGAGAGCAGTGTACCTGATGTTCCCTGGGGACTCTTGATGCATTTGTCACAGTCTCAGTGAGACAAGGAAGTATGCATCAGTCACCCACTCAAGCACCATTAACTTCAGAGTCAATCTGCTCTCCAGTATGCACAGTCATGAAGGATTAAGCTTCTCATCCTGCCTTTCTGTTCCCAAGAATATTGTTTTTAGCACTTGGCCAGTCAAGTAATAGCTGAGTATTTACCACAGTTTTAGTCACGTAAGCAAGAGCAATATGAAGATGTTATTTTGTGGGCTGTCCTGTTGGCATACAAAACACCACGTAGACGTGATTGGGAGGTTCATGTCTTTACCCATCCTCTTACAGTCTGCTTTCACTCACATCTGGATCACCGTCCGACAGATAAAACAGAAGAATACTCAAACATTCAGTCACTGGATCCCTAATTTGTGGCTCTAACTCTTCCAAGAGCTGCATCCTTAGATCCTATTTGTCTCATACTTTCCCACAGCTACTCAACCTAAATGTAGGCTAAAGCCTTAAAGCACATAATTGCCATTTTTCTTCCCAAAATTCCACAAATTCAGCCTTGGAGACATGTCATAACAAAGTCAAGTTTTTGAAATACACAGATGCAGAGTAACCTTAGGGAACAACATGGTTAAGCAAAACATATTTCCCATATTTCCACATATTACCTCCTCTTTCATTCATTTCATTACAGTATATCAACAGCATATTACCTATTTCTATAGCCCATACAGACGCATATGACTTAAATCACAAAATGATAAAAGGTTGACTTAACAGTGACTGTGCCCAATGTGGAAATAATCAAACTAACTGTTAAATTAAGATAAGGTAACACTTGAATTCCTTTGATTTGGTGAAATTAGTGGTGCAGTGCTCTATGGTCTGTCCTGATTAGCACTTAAAATAGCTAAAATAACTCTTCCATGCCATGACTGGGAACACTTTTTTGAGAAATATTTAGGCTCCATCACTGTTATTGTCTCCATACCACTCCTCTGCACTGCTCCAAACTACAGGCCCTCCTCAAAAAACACCATTAATTATGTCTGTGAAGGTTCTCAGTCATCAAGGTCATAGTTATCCAATGAAGGCTAAAATGCGAGAGAACCGAAGTCTTTGAGTATCTTCAACCAAGTTCAGTTGCCCTTCATTTTAACCTTCCTTGAAAGGTTATCAAGCTGAA